GGGGTTCAATAAAACATTCACCGAGTGGAGGGATTCCAGTATTCGCTTAAAACCCAGGAACTCCTGAATCCATCTGATTGTAGCATATTTATATATTCCGATGAACGGGGCTATGCTTTCCATCAATACTTTATTTTCAATGTTATAACAAAGTCCCCCCAGATTCTTTCCCCGCGAGGTCAGTTCTTTCCATTTACCACTGCACGAAACAGCTCCGAAGAAGTTTTCCGTTTCTTACTGATTTGCGGAGTCCTTATCTTATCCGCCTTTTTGCGTCTTAACAGATTTTATTTTCTGCGATTTCACAGGTGGCCGTGGTGGGTTGTTAGGCAATGCGGGTAGTCAACGGGTTCTCTCTTCTCTGCCCTTTGTGGGCACCGGATCTGGAGGCCAGGGTCTCCTCTCAAGCTCCAACGTTGTCATACCTCTCCAGTCTTGGTCGGGTTCGCAAAATGTGTAAGTTTGAGCAAAAAGTATGCGCATATCAAATCCTAGGACTCACTTTGGTCTTAACGCATTGTTTTAACACAAGTAATGTGTCCATATGATTCTTATTTAAATCTGTTCATCTAACCGCCTTTTTCGCCGAGTTATGTCTGTATTAATTTTTTGTTTCGGGTTACCTCTGTCCCACATCGATGTGGCCTTGTGACATTTTCACTATTCTGAAAAATGTGCCCCCCCCCCCATTTTCGCTGTGGCATTATTGACTAATTGAGACAATTCCTTAAGCCTACTTGCACCCAATCGCCGTTCAAAAAACAATTCAGTCGAGGTTTATGGCTATAAAGCCCGGGGTACCAATTTTTCACTTGAACCCCCCTCCGATCAATTAGCAAAGAAAATAGTTGGGCATTCATTAATCCTTCCCACTCGTTTTACTACCTTTTTTTCAACCTCTCCTCTTTTAAGTGCGAAGTTGCTTGAAGATTTTCGATCAACTTGTCGCATTTGTGATGGATTCTCCGCTAAACATCACGTTAATATTTATAGGCTTAGTTAAGTACATGCTTTCCGGTTTACCACCCTCCGGTTCAACCCTCCTGAAAGTCCCGAGCGATAAGAATGCCGATTTGCGACATAAATATACTTTCAGCTATCAATTCGACCCAGTTGTGTGCGCGCGTGTGTGTGTGTGCCAAACGTGCGTGTTTTTCTCACCTTTCGAAAGTGTACTTTCCAAGTTGGGAAGTAAATTGACGTGTGGTTTAAACGCTTCAGACGATTGATTGATAAATCGACCAGTGCAACGAATGCATCAATCGGTCGCATTCGAGAAAGTGGTCTGAATTTCTGATTTGATTGGAACAGCAGTTGCGTCTTTTCCTATACTTTTGAGCTTACAGTTTTTTTTTAATTTTTCTTTTTGTTTTTCGTTCAGTGGTCACAATCTTCTGACGCTCACAAATCCAACTCCGCCGAATCGTTCGAATAGTGGAACTATGCCCCCACCAAGGATTGATTAATTTAATTGAAAAAATAGCGTGCAAATTTTGGCGTTTTTAATTTTTTTTTTGCGCGTTTGTAAATATATATATATATATATATGCCTATTAAAAATTTTCTGCTATCTCATTTGGGCAAAAGAATGCCTGGGTGCACCTTCAAGTATCGAATGTGCTCTCATTAATTAAAATTAATGAATGGGATTTTAAATTAAATACGGATTATTGATTGCACTGCAGGTGGAAAGTGGATCATGGGAATGCGTAATGCAGGGAGATGGGCTCCCATAAGGTACTAACCGGTCGCAGATCTGTTATTTATCTAAAATTCTTATAAGGTGTGCACTTCACTCTGTGTTCTTCCAATACTTGGCGAACTTTGACCCTGCACGCTTCAAACTTTAGTGGCCTGTAAAGTTGACTTGGTGTTCGGAAGTGCCAACTCAAGTTTTTTTTCAAATATTCTTTCAGCTGGGATAAGATACTTGTTAATGTTTCTAGTGCCTAATACGGATTATTGATTTTTCCCAATTGGGTGTTGTTGATGGGCTTGGTATTCAAAATAAACATACATATATGGGAAAATTGTATATTTATCGTATTTCTTATACTTGAACTATAATTTACGTCCTGGATTTTGGACGTCTATGAGGTGAATGAAAATAATGAGTGTCTAGAGAGCATCGTTAATCTGGACGGTTTACTACAAGATGGATTGAGAGAATCATGTAAGGAGATATGAGGTCTTGCCATATTTACAGTTTCGGTTTTTTTCTTTAACCATATCGACGATTCTTGAAAGGATTGATTTTCGATCTAAACTAATATTCTGTCCGGCCAATTGATCTCACCAATCAATGGCCTAATGCATTTTTGCAGTTAAACAGTTCTTTTTCTGGAATAAATTTAAACAACAAAAAAATCAGTAAATGAAGGAACTTCTAATCCTCAAACGTGGACACTTTAAATATCGACTTCCTTCGTTGTCACATATTACAATTAAAATATTTTTAGTTTTTTATGTTGTTAGATTAAATGATGAGTCTAAGGGGTGTGCGATAGACTTACTTCCACGTGGTGCCCTCTGGGCAACGCATACTCATACGGCAAAATAGCCTATTAATCGGCAGTTGACTTCTAACTTCAATGGCCCCACTGTATGTCATATACGACCCCTTCCACAATACTCATCTTACCCTTTTTCTCTGATGCCATATTCGAATATTTCACAATACTCATCTTACCCTTTTTCTCTGCCTTTGTGTCTGTCTCTTTTACATCTTTGAAACGCTCTTCTGTCCCTCCCCCTTTCTACTTTTTTCCACTTTGATGTTCCTCCTCCCCTCTGTGAAGCCCGAAGTTAACTAAAGGGCTAATGCTACCTATAAAAACGCCTGCCATTTGATATAAATAAATAATTTAGTCAAACTAAATAGGCTGATCTTCGAATAGTCGAGATTGAATACAAAAAGAAGCATTTTTTTCGAAGTGCTTGCCAAATCGACAAACGCATCTTCTCCGATATAGGGGCAAAGTGTAAATATTTTGCGTTTTTCACCAATTTCTGTTGTTTGGACTTTTGATTGAGGGGGACATTCTTGACTACGATGTCTACTGCCTAGTTGACAAATTAACACAAACATACAAAGAAAAAAAATGCTAAGACAGAAATTGTTGTTGGGCTGGAAAATGACTATCTTGAATATTTCAAAATGTCTAAGCATAACTTTTTTTTACTTTGTGGATTTCAATTTGTTTAACTAATTCTAAATGCTGTCAATTTGATGTATCCTTGACGTTGCCAATCTTTTCAAGCATTGTCAGGCCTGAAAGGCCTCTGTACATCAGCTGGGTTTTCTCCTTACAAATTGACGAGTTATGTGCCTAATTAAGAATGAAGGGAGGCTTGTAAAAGGAGCCAGATGATACGATCAGTTTAGACAGGCGAATAGTAAGCCAATTGGTTAAGTATTGAACTTAGCTCAATTCCTCTCCTACCCACAACACCCCCTCCCCACCACCAATTTTTTTGCTCTCGTTAATGGGCACACTTTAATGCTGACAAACGGATGGGCAATTATCATTCATGTTTGTATTGAGGGGTGTGCGATAGACTTATCTCCACATGGTGCACTCTGGGCAATGTATACTCATACGGCAAAAAGGTCTCTTAACTGGCAGTTGACTTCAAACTACCATGACTCGATTGTATGTCATATTTGACTACTACCCCAGTACTCACCTCACCTTTTTTACACCTTTGTGTCTGTCTCTTTTACTTCTTTGAAACACTTCTGTTCCCTCCCCTCTCCACTTTCTTTCGCTTTGATGTTCCTCCCCCCTCCGTGAAGCCTGAAGTCAACTAAAGGGCTAATGATAACTATCAAACCGCCTGCCATTTGGCATAAATAAAAACGCGTAGTAGTTGGTCGCTTGAAGTTTATTGCAAAGAGAATTTCTAAGAGAATTTGCCTTATTAAACAGTGACTTATCTTTACAGAAGCCAGTCACATGCAAGCATAATGTTAATCTCCTTCTAAAACGACAGAAATATTAAAGGTTGCTGTTATCTACTGGAATGCACTCTCTTTAGGACAACTTAAGGTATGACCAGGGAAAGAATCCAGCTGTACAATGGGAAAGGAAGATTTAGAAATGGGAAATAATTTCAGAATGTTTATACCATTGTTTAATTCATCTTTATGGGATGTGCGATAAACATACCTTCACGTGGTGCACCCTGGGCAACGCACACCCATGCAGCAAGAAAGTCTATTAACTGGCAGCTGACTTCTGACTTCAAACTATCATGACCCGACTGCATGTCATATTCCACCATTTCCATAGTACTCACCTCTCATTCTTCTCTGCCTTTGTGTTTGTTTCTTTTACCTCTGTGAATCACTCTTCTATTCCACCCCTCCCCCTCTCCACTTTTTATTGCTTTGTCTGTACCTCCCTCCGTGAAGTCCAAAGTCAACCAAAGAGCTAATGATAACTATTACAAAGTCTTTCATTTTACATAAATAAATTTATCTTTATGTTATGCAATCTAGGTGGTAAATGATGGGGAATGAACACGTGAATGACTTCGGAAAGCAAGTAGTTGGTGCTTATTAATCTGTAACACAGGAACCTGAAATAACTACAACTATTCAAATCAATTAGGTAATGTCATGATATATGTGGAGACATTTATTGATTCCCTAGGATTAGAACATCAGTTCCTTCAGTGTCAGTTGTCAGTTACTTACATGTAGGTACTCAAATTGATGGAATTACCATCGAGAGTGCAACGGAACTTCGAAAAGCATAAAAGACCATTATGGAAAGAATAGATACCTCATTAAATGAAACCCATAGTTGCTTTTTCAAAAAAGACCTAATTTGATGTTTATCGAGCTGCATCCCAACAGCCATAATTAAAAAATGCAATCTGTCATGTTAAAGTGTTGGTGTTCCAACCACCATTAACTGAAAAAGAAAGTGGAATTGAAGGAGAGTAAGTTCAGGGGTTCCTCCAAAGGTATTAAAAGCATCCCCCCCCCCTAAATTAAGAAATTAAATTATATTTTTTATATCAAATGAACTGGCAACAATTAAAGTGATTACGGTGATTGTCTTTTTAATTCCTTTTAATTTTTTTAAAACTGGTTATTTTATTGAAATTCGCATTTCTGTTGTATCTTTCCAGAAATTTGCCACAAGTTACCTATGAATTCGAACGTCATCTGTTGGCTTAATTTATTGCTCCAATTCGGGATTTTCTCATGAAAATTTAGTGCATTTATTGCCTACGAGGAAGTAAAAATAACATTTCAAACACCTATAACTTCTTACTGGCGGTTTCAAGCTAATCTTAAAAAAATGAAGTCAAATGACGAGAAATAGACTATTTGCCGTATGAATAGACGTTGTCCAGGGTGCACCAAGTGGAGGTAAGGCTATCGTGGCACTCTCCGACATAGCCGACTGGCCAAGAATCGAAGCCGTTGCTGAGTTTAGACTACACACCGGTCACGATTGCCTGTCAAAACACCTTCACAGATTTGGAGTATACACTCAAGCCACATGCCCCTATGTAACCTACAGGAGGAAATGGAGAAGACCCACCTGATTCGGTGTCCACCCCTCAAGACAACGACGGAAACCCTGAGATACTGGGGAGCAAGAAGACAGCTAATGAACTGCTATTAATTAACTGCTACATAGAAACCCTGAGATACTGGGGAGCAAGAAGACAGCTAATGAACTGCTATTAATTAACTGCTATAAATATACACCCCACCCTTGGGGGAAACTGAATTCAAAGTTTAAGGGCTAATGAAAAATATCACAAAGCCTGCCATTTGAAATAATAACTTACTTGTGGTCAAAAAACCAATATATTAGGTTGGCGACTAAGTCATTGCCAATTTCAAATAAGAAGGCAAATTCGGAATTTTTGTTTAAAAATATAACTTTATTCAATTAGATATTGGCCGTTCTTGTCGATGACCTTTTTCCATCGTTCTGGCAGAGTAAAAATTCCCCGTTCGTAAAATGTCTGGTCTTTGCTATTAAAAAACTGAATTAGGTGTGATCCGACACCATCCGCGTTGTTACAAATTTTACCATTTAAAGAGTTTTGCATGGAACGAAACTAATGGTAATCCGAAGGCGCAAGGTCAGGGCTATATGGTGGGTGTGACAAAACATCCCAACCCAGTTCC